CAGACACCCTTCCCGACCGCAATGATAATTCCCCTTGATACAACCTCTGCACAACCTGATATTCAATCGCTCTCTCTCTCTCTCTCTCTGCGCTCTGAAGTCCGGGCATCCACCTGATATTCAATGGCCCCTAATATCTTCAGCCTACTTTTGGGACTTTCCGGCTGTCGCAGTTGGGTGGAGAGGGGCCGCCTCAGTCCAGCGGAAAGGGAATACTCATGACTCATGACTCATGACAGTAGACCGCCTGTACGAAGGCAGGTATCACAGCAATGCGTGGCACCAATGACAGTAGCGTGTAGGCATGCCATGCCGCAGCAACAACAGCGCACCCTGTGCGTAATTTCTTGTTTTCAAAAATGATGGTGGCCATGCAATTCCGAAAATTAGCAAGCAAGAAATAGTTATCGTTCCCCACCAAACACGAGCTGGAAACCTGTGGCATGAGGGAGCTGAACTCGCATTGGCTGGCAGAGATGCAGTTTGCATGGTCCACTTGCCTCGGTCAGACACATTGAAGTTTCTTCTGGTTCCCTGTAACCATGATCCTGATCTTCGGAGTAACGTGAGTTCTGTGCATATCTTCTGCATTTGGAAAAGTCAAGTCACAAGGTGTCAGCTGTGACGCAAGCGTGTTGATCGCCCCTCTCGGTGATCTCAAGATGGCGCAACAGGAGTTCGCCGGCGACTGTAAATGGAGTAGAGGAGGAGTCTCTGCCTGCCGGGTCGAATTGGAACAAAATCCGAGCCCTACGTACATGGCTCTTCATAGGTCCATCATCTGTTCTGCGCATCAAGGCACAATCTGCCAAGTACAGGCTGGAGAGGTTTGTTCTCCCACCCACGTAGATGGCACCACTCCGGCTGCCGGCCGTGCAGTTCATGAAAGAGACGCCTATGGTTCCTGGTGCCTCGGAGCTCCTTGGGAAGTAGAGAGGCTCGCGCTCAGTAATTTTTACGGTGGCTTCCCAACTTTACAACAGACAAAATGCCACGGCTCTGATTGAAGCCGCCGTACTGCACAAAGCCACCCCCTCCCTCTCGCCGTGCACCTCAATGAAAATTCTCAATGCTTAGGGAAGCCAGCAATCGACAGGCTGAAACAACGCAAGGCTCCTTGCTTTGCAAGCCGGCTGACGGCACTCGCGGAAGGAAATGCTGCCAGCAAGCCGCACTCCCTCATAGTGGACATAGAAGCCACCCCCTGAAACTGCAGCTGAACAGTTGTCCTCAGGCAACATGCAGCAACTTTCTTTCACATGCCGAATGCCGAAGCGTCACAGGCGACCAAGTCTCAAAGCTTCTGGTCCCTCCCGTGAACTTTATGCCGCCCCTGGCGATCTTGATGCCTCCACCTTTCTTTCTGGCGGAGCAGCTTCGAAACCTGCAGAAGGAGAGGAATAAGAACAAGCTGATACAAGTTCCATCCACTGGCTCTTGGCTGTGCCTCATGTCGCCAGCGGTTTGAGACAAGCCATGGGCCACATGCAGCCCACCCCCATCCTCGCCGGAGTGGCACGCGACCGCCGTCAGGTTGCCCGACACATCCAAGGATTCTGACACGTGCAAGCCACCGCCCGGGCCGACTGAAGTGGAGCAGCCATCAAAACGCATCAAGCCTCAGGGACAAGAAAAATCTGTAAAAGCCCCGATGCACAGAACTGCCTGGGCATGTCGGACTATGCTTGCAAAGGTCCACCTTGCAGCTGAACCCGTCCACTCACTGCCGCGCCACCACCACGCCTTCCAGCAGCACAGCCGCTGAAGACCATCTCGCCACCGGACTGTACCAGTTTCAGGACCCCGGGCTTTTTGGTCCTGAGGAGGAGTCCCCCACCATTGAAGCCAGCACGGCAAGCTTCGAACCGCATCATCCCAGCCCTTTGCTGCAGCAGCTCGCCCACCAAAAGGCCTCCGCCCCCCAATTGCTTTCCAGCATCTTGGGACAGGTTTGCTTCTGGCTCGCCTGACCTGCAGTCGATGAAGGATGCCGAACCGCCCAACTGCGCGTAGCTTCCTAACACGTAGACAGCTCCACCAGACCATCTGGAACTGCAGTTCCTGAGGTCACAGCATTGAAAGCATGAGCCGTGAGACTGCACCTTGCGCATAGCGCATAAAGGCTGGCAAGGGTGACACTCAATGCCCCGCCCAGCTTTTGCTTATTGCCTACTAGCTGAGGGCAGCTCATGAAAGTCACCACGCCGGCATGTTGAACCACTGATCCTTCCACTCGAACAGCTCCACCAGTTCCCGAAGTCTCGGAGTGCGAGATCTGCATGTTACCGCGAATGTTGAGATTACCGCGGCGCACGCGGATGGAGCCTCTGCTAGTGCACCTTGCAACTGCAGTAAAAAGCAGACCACATTCACATCTGGTACGCTGGCCTCGACAGAGAAAACGCCTCCGTTTCAATCGTCAGGCTGCCGTTCACCGTTAAGCAGGGGGTCTGGAATGCTGCTGTAGCCGTGATTTCGAGGTGGCCTTCCTGCGCAGGCTGCATGCTTGTCAAAACCATGGCAATTGGTAGTGTCCATAAATATGGGACCCTAACATAGACCCCAAAACGCTATAATCGTCAGTATGGAAGCCCCAAAAGGTTACCCCTAACTTTGGGAAAGCATTCTGCAGCAGGCTGTCCATGGTCAAATCTCCCACCACCTCAGTTCTAGCAAGGTTCCCAGCTGCCACATGCTGCCACTCATGGCAGGGGCATTGCTCCGCGCAACTTTGCGAAATGCAATCACTTGCCAAGAAGCCTCCAACGGTGCTGATAGCTCTATCCTCAGGCTCAGGGCAGGATGCCTTCTTCGGATTTCATGCCATGATGGATTGCGGCAGAGCCCATGAACTGTTTCCCCAGAGTTAGGATCACATACGTTTCAGCAAAGCATCGAGCTGCCAGGGCTTCCGCGCAAAATACAATCGCTTTGGAGCGTGACTCTCCTGGAAATCTCGTAGGCCCCCTCGAGGTGTAGGATGCCATTGTCGCAAGTCTGCGGAAACCTGGGCACTTCCAGTGACTTCAGCTTATAGAATATAACCCAATATAACCCCAAAATAAGCCAGTATAATCCCATTATAACCACATGTAACCTCATGGTCAGCTTGAGGTCCAAACTGAATTATCTCCTTTGCCACATAATGCGTGCGCTCTGCCAGCGATGGCAGCGCGACCAGCAAACCTGGAAGGTTGAACTCAAGTCACCGATAGCTAGAAAAAAATTGTCTACCAAAACTGCTGAATCTTATGGATTCGGTAGCGACGAGAAGGGTCATGAGGAAGAATGGTTGAAAAAAATGGCATTTGTCATTGATGATATCACTACTTTTTTTTGCCCGCAGCACAAATCTAACCTAATTTTTGGTATTGATCTTACTTTGTGCGGTTTACTTGACATACCTAAACAGGAAATGCACGAGCATGCCTGGCCTAAGCGCATGAAGCCATGAATGAAAGGATTTCGCAAAGGCATGCAGCTTGAGCCTTCTAACGCCAGAAGAAGCCGCTGTTAAGAACCGACCATGTCACTAGTTGTCAGCATATCGTGCACAGAAACTGACTGCTCGCGCATAAAGCAGGCTAGCATGGAGGAGGACGCAGCCTTTGGAGGCAGCCGTAAAACCTCCCACCTGGCGAAGCCATGGTCATTCTGTAAGGGTACGCATCGGCTTCCTTCCGCTAATTCTGCAGTGTAAAGGCTCCTAACACAACAAAATAGATGAGTGGACAATACTTACACTCTATGCTAGGGCCCGAACGCTTCAAAGCTGCCACGCGCATCTCCAGAGCTCCAAGTTCCAGCGCCTGGTGTGCAGTGACATCCCGCGGCCCCAAACCACTTTGAACCCAGGCGTTTCAAGCTTCTGGCGTAGGCCACCGTGAGGGGCTCTGATTCAAAGAGCTATTGACTTGCGGCACGCAGCACACCTCTTGAATCCTAGAGTCTTAGAATCTTAGAACTCCCAGGCATCCCCTCCCATGGTCAACCCCTATAACTATATGTGCCTTCGCCGAAACTCCTTGAATAATCCGAGGCCATGGACGAGTTGGGGGGTCCTATCGCGTTTGGGGGGTTTGTGTGTAGGATACAAGAAATGCATCGCTCTTGGGGGGTTAGTGGTGGTCACGACTTAGATTAAGGGGTATCGCTGTTGGGGGCTCCTATGGCTTTTGGGGCTGTTTGCGCCATTCCTACGTCTTCCAGCATTTCTTCTCTTCGTGCCTAATACGTGAGGAGTGACCGTTGCTCATATGCCCCTATATAACCCTGTATAACCAAAACCATATAAGGGAACCAGAACATCCAACTTGGCATCCAGCCTGATGAACTTCCAGGGCCCCTGCGGGCGGCCCTCGAGCGAGCTGCTGCGCCCTGGAGCGTGGCGCCCAGGCGACGCCGGGGTCGCACGGTGAGCTCCGCCTTCCCCAACAGTTTTCTGAGGGGAATGACGAGGGATAATAGGGGACTAAAGCAACTTATGGCTCCGCAGGGTCCTTTTTACGGATTGTATAAGGATGAGCTTGAGAAACTCCCCGAGCAGTAGTTTGCGCATCTATTCGAATCTATTCCCATCACGCGCTTTTATGTTACAAAGTCTGGGGAGTGGCTATAATGGCTACATAGAGTTTCTGTTGTTATCCTGTCGTGTACTAACATCAAAGGCCCTAAGCCTCGGCTTGGAGTCCCAAAGCATCGAGGGTGGCGCCATCATCATGCAGGTGCACGCTGTTGAAGTAGAGGTCCTACCAGTCTTTGCATGGATGTGTCTGCCATGCTTGCTGTGCTCTTATGCTCATAACTGGTTAACCCTGAGAAAACTCTATGCAAAAGACATCCAATCCAAACATGCTATCATAGACCACGCCCTACCCTGAGAAAACTCTGTCAGAAACCGGGCACCTGCCGCAAGAAGGGGATGCCGTACAGCTCAGTGATGAAACCTGTCTGCGCAAAGATCTTACATGTCTTCCAGACACCGCCTGGACCCGCCTTTTACATTCTGGACGGTGTCCCTTGGCTCACAAGGTAGGCGCCTGGGAACGGCCTGGAATGAGTGAGCACATTCCTAGACGCAAGCCAGAGGGGAACCCTTGCCTGGTGCGTTGCTGGTAGCAGAGAGGGGTCGATGTGGATCACTATGTACATGCCTCGAGCCTCACCTTGCGGCGCATCTCGCGTCACAGACCCACCAAACGAAGAAAGAGGAGAAAAATGAATGGCAAGGCTTTTTCACTAAGCATGCGGGTATTCTCCGGCAACTCTGAGGCCATCAAATCTCAAGAAAGCTACTTGCCAAATCCTGAGGCCGTGGTGGCCCGTCACTGCCGCCATCGTCAAGCTGTCAGCTGGCGACCTGGGCTGAATGAAAGCAGACACGAGCAGCTATGGTGTCAACTCTTTTCGTCTGCGCGACGGGACCCCACACCAGGTCACGTCCTCAAAACTAATAAGCATGCCAGCCTATGCGAGCCGAAGCATCACAAGCACAGCAAAGCACAGTGCGACAAATGAAGATGGCAGAGCTAAGCCCTGCAACCGTCGCATCCAAAACTGCTAATTCTGGGCGCGGGGCTTGTGCCCCGCCATGAAAGAAAGAGATGCAACGAGCAAGCCACCCCTCATGTGCATGTGTGCACTCTCTGGGCCTCTCCCTCACTTTATCTCGGTGGGTCAGGCTAGTGGCCACCAAAGTTTTTCTGGAACTCCTTTTTGGTCAGAAGGGCACCGTCCAGCGCCTCGCGAATCTTTGTCTCGTCCATGTCGGCGCCAATGAAAACAAGCTCTGTGCGCCTGTCTCCATGGCGGCTCTTGATGTACTTCTGGGCCCGTGGCGGCCACTGCGACTTCGGCGTGGTTGTGATGAGCCACCTGCCCAGGGCGCGAAATGACAATAGAGGGAACTTCCTTACACACCAAGAGTCCGAGGCCGGTTGCGGGATGTTGCGGGCCTTGGGCCAGGCTTCAGGTCAGCGGCGAGGCCAGCGGAGCTCCACTCCACAGCGTTCTCATTATTTCCTGCGGACCAAGCGAAGCCCTTGGAGCGGAGAACGCCGGGAAAGGAGAAGGTACCGAGCATGTCGGTGAGACGCTCCGGGTGGAAGGGCCTATCAGCACGGTAGACAAAGCTTGAGATGCCATATTCCTCGGTCTCCGGCTTGTGGTGGTTTCCCATCAGCTCTTGGGCCCAGCCAGCTGACATGCTTGCCTCTCTCATATCGAAGCTACGTGTGTTCAAGAGCTCTGTCGGGCTCACCTGCCCATACTCGCTTTCAATCATGCGTGCTTTGGGATTTAACTGGTGGAGGATGTCCCGGAGTTTGCCCAGCTCTGCAGGGGTGACCAGATCAGTCTTGTTCAGGATTATGACGTTGGCGAACTCAGCCTGATCCACTAGCAAATTGACGATGGTTCGTGTGTCCCCCTCAGCTCCCAACTCTTCTCGATTCGCCAACTTGTCCGTACAGCAGTAATCCTTCAAGAAGTTTTTGCAGTCCACGACGGTCACAAGGGTATCAAGGCGTGCGACACCTCCAATCTTTGCAAAAAAAACGTGGTGTACTATGGTGTACTAATTAGAAGCATACATGGACACGGGGATTACGTGGGGATCCCTCCTAAGAATTCTGCCGGGGCCATTTTGCGATGCCTCCCAGCAAGGGCCGCCCCTTCTCATCCGCGGCGGCAAACGTCGTGGCTACAGGCAGTGGCTCCGAGATGCCAGTGCTCTCTATTAGCAGGTGCTCGTAACGCTTCTCAAGGGCTAGCTCCTTGACGCTTTCGATCAAATCTTCTCGGAGTGTGCAGCAGATGCAGCCTTGCAGATTATGAAACACAAAACCCCGAGGCTGCTCCTCCCACTGCGGACAAGCAGCCATTGTGGAGCTCGACCATCTTGTCCTAAACAAGGGTTTCCTAGACATGTAACGAAACACATGCTACGTCTGAGCTCTTGTTGACTTGCCCTGACAGGAGCCAGTGTAGTCCTTGTTCTCCTGCAGCTCCACCCCGTCCTTCACGAGATCTGCATCGATGTTGATGGATGCCATATCGTTCACCAGAACTGCCACACGCATGCCTTCGCGATTGTTGAGCACGTGCGTGAGCAAGGTGGTCTTTCCGGCGCCCAGAAATCCGCTTAACAAAGTGACAGGCAGCTTTTCTGTCTCTTCCATGTTGTCGGTGCCGGAGATTGTCGAGCCAGGCTGGTGGTCGTGTTCATGCGCATGCTCGTGTGGTTCGTTGAGTGTGCAGCCAGTAGGGCCAGTAGGGAGTGCAGCCTTGGCCTTGTCAAGGTCGCTCTGTGCTGCACTCTGCATCGGGTCGCTCGTCTTGTCAACTTCTGGCTCCGACTTTTGACCTTTGCTTTGAGGGACCTCAGCCGATGCAGTCTCAGTCTCCTCTTGGGGGACCTTTGCATCTCCGCCCTCCGCATCAAGCTGGGTATGCTGGGTCGTGTCTTGGCTGGCCTGTTGCATGCCATGTTCTATGATCTTCTTGGTGGTGTCGTCACCAGTCTCGTAGAGTTCCCGCATCATGTCCAGGATGCCATCTTGAGGCCCCTTCCTGGGCTCTTCCACTTCACCCTCAGCCTCAGCTGTTGGCTTGCGCCGGCCCGTCCCACACAAATCCAGCCAGACGTCGTAGCCACCGAACTGCCCCTTCACCTTTTGAAGTGAGACGATCACATGATTTTTCTTCACCTTGAAAGTTGAGCTGCTGGGCACGATGTCATTTTCCAGGTTCGTCTTCCGGAACCGGTAATTCTTGCCGTCGAGCCCCAGCACCTTAAGGTCGAAGGATGATGCTGTGAAGTCACAACTGATGTCCTTCGGTGGCAGGCCTTCCACGCCCCGCAGCCTCACGTCGACCGTCACAACTGGCTTATCCCCATCCCCCAAATCCAACGAAAACATTGTGATCTCGGTCCACGGCAGGGAAGCTGTTTGTACGACCGGTTGCTTTGGTTGTGGCACTTCGGCAACTGGGGGCTGTAGCTCCTTTGCCACTACCTTGGGGGCAGGTGCTGCCGTGGTGGCCACAGCAGTGGCCGCAGGGGTGGTTGCAGCTGTGGCTGCGGGTGAGGGAGGTGCTGTCACCACAAGCTCAGGTGCAGCCAACGCCTTCTTCGCCACAACGAGCTCTGTCTCGAATCGGGCCTGCATTTTTTCTAGCTCTTGTCGCACGGCGTCATGCCTGGACAGCATCAGCATGGCTGCGACTTCCTTCAGCGCGGCGTCAAGCTCCGCTACGGGTAGTTGTCCATTGCCAACCTGTGCTTCAGCAATTCCCGTCATCTCTACTGGCTCCCCTGCCCCTTGGCAGGTTGCTAGAGCTAGCTCAGCCCTCTGGAGCCAAGTCAAACTTGTCCACACACTTGTGTGGATGTCAATGACTGCAAAACATTCAGAGGGATGCAAAAAATACGCCCCATGTGAACGAGATACTGCTGCAAAGAATCCCTTGCGTTCTTGGCGTCTGACCGCAAAGCTGTTGGTGGCTGAGGTGGCCATGCCTGCACAATCAGTGGAAAACACCATGATCGGCTGCATGTCAGGTGAACCCACCAGAACTTTGAATTGCACAGCCAGGCTTCCAGGAATTGCCAGCTGTTAGCTGCACCGCTTGACACGAACAAAAAACATGATGGGTTGTAAAAGGTATGCCAGCTAATGCGTTCTTGGAAGGCCTCTACCTGCAACGGGGCAAGACCTGCATGGTGCACTGATGGCGATAATGGGGAGTCTATTTTGCTACATGCGAGCCAAATGGCGACGATGGAAAATGAGGCACAATACCAGGCGAATGAAGACCTGCAGGTCCATTTTTTCCATAAGATATCGGAGGGCGCGTGCGGTCCGGCCAATTTGAAATGAGGCTCCGATACCTGACGTCTCCATTAAAAAAGCTCCTACGATTTGCCTCATTGGAACCAGGAATGTGCGAGCGTGCTCGCCAAAACCCAGAGGCTGCGCTTACTGCGCTGTAACTAAGGAGGGGCTGCGAAAGCCCCCAAGCCACGGACTGGCGTTGCGCCCTGTGAAGCTGCCAACCTTGTGCGCCTCCCAACAACACCCTGCTTTGGTGAAGTGCTAGACGATCAATCGTCTGGAGGAAATTCACTTCGCACGGGGTGGCGCTATGCAGCCTCACTTTTCTACTGGGCTCCGAAGCCCTCATTGAAACACGCTTGCCCCCCCACAGGAGCCGTGGATTGGAAAAAGCGAACCACGTGCAGCAACTTCAACTAAACACTGTTGTTCTGGTTTGTTTACGGCTTTGGGGAAGGCATCTTCAGGCATCTCTCAGCTTGCGGCCACAGCCCATCGCAGCATGCGGCTTCGCAATGTGGCCTTGGCGCTTCCCCTTCACACCATACCTACAAGCACACAATTTTCAAAGACATGATTGGTGCCCCAGCAAGGACAGGGAACGAAACTTGGCCTAACCAGAGATCCTGGGTATCGACCTGCGACGATAGGACCTGGGCTGCGCCATACTCTACAAGGCCGGAGCATCATCAGTCGCTGGCGGGCAATGCTGTTTTCAGGGCGTGGAGTGCGGCGTATGCGATGAGCTCCGTGTGTCCCAGAAATGGGTCGCCCAGCGCTCACCCTCCCCTTCCACGTCAGCGCCTCGCAGCCATTTCACAGTGCATTGTTATAGTTGCCATTGAACACTTGCTCTGAGTCAGAGAAGCCGCATCGACCAGCTTTCTAGAGGATTCGGTCATCCACGCACACACATACAAAAGTGGCGATAGAGGGTGACCGCCATAAAACAATTACCCAAGACCTTCATGGGGGTAGAATACTTCATTGCAAACCCATGTATTTTTGGTGTTTCGCCAACCTGTAAATCTGAGATTCCCACAGTCCACAAACCCTGAACCAAGGAATCGGCAAACCCTCCATACACAGCATTTCCACAAAGATGCGAGAACGGTGTTCGAAACAATAAAAGACGATTTAAGAAGGTAGACCCTCATACTCCGTCAAGCACGCTGGCCACATCACCCACAAAGCTCCAAACATCTCCGAACAACCCCGAAGGCAAAAGGGCAGAAGTGGCTGCAGCGAACCACCTCGGCTCCTCTTCTCCAGCAAGGCATCCAGAAGATCATGGGCGCCCGCCTGATAAGACTAGCTGACAGCTAAGCAAGAATTAAAGACCTCAAAGATGAGGATAGGAAGTCCAGGATGGGTTGTTAGAGAAATGGGACCTAGCAATACTTTGAAGCAGTGCGCGAAGAAGGCTCCTATGCAATACTGTCCCACTGCCTGCCACAAGAACTTTTCACAAGTGGCAATCAAACGCTGATAAACACAGTCGTCACACAAGGTGGGGTCCAAGCCTCTTCAGCCTGCGCTGGAGGGCCCGGCAAGAAGTCGAAGATGCCTGGAGCGGGGTCGCTCTGCAAGTATGCACATTTCTCAGAATTCATGCCCCCTTGACTTTGCCTGCCCGCTGCAAGGGTGAGATCCTCCGTGCCCCTTTAAACATATATACCCACGATTCAAAAATTTACCAGAGTCGTTCAATCCCATTGTCCGCGAGTTGGATGAAGCAGGGACCCCTACCCGGCTCTAATTACCCCGATTGCCTGCCCCCTGCAGGCCCACCATGATCATCATTCAACATGAAACAGAATCCGGCACGCCATTCTGGGTCCGGTATTGCAATGTCCAAGTCACCAGTATCGAAGTTTGCCTCCATTTCAGCCATGGCTGCCTGGCCAATGGGAAGCTCTCTCAATGCCTAGCCGTCCTCTCTTCGCCACTGCCTCTGCGTTGCTGCGAAGTGCTTGAAGCGGCATGCTCTTGGCACCTGTGCTAGAGTAGTTTCCATTTTATTTTCCATTACCCCAATATAACCCCAATATACTATAGCAGTTTCCATCTTACTTTCCATTATCCCAATGTAACACCCAAACATGATTGTGCATTCTGCCAAAGCCGAGCCTGAGGCGCCTCGCGGCTTGCTGTCAGGGAGGCCTTCCTAGCATCTTCTACATCTGTAGAGTTTACGAGTTTGGGGCAAAAAGTCCTTCACATAGGCAGCATTGCATCCTGAGGACAGTGTGGAATTGGGCCTAACTGGTGCAAGAAGTTGAAGTTCGCTCCATAGATTCTGGGCTAGATGTGAAAGCACCCCTCACTGAGCAAATTTGACAAGCAGTCCTGGAAAGCATACCCAAGCAATTGTAGGTCTGTCCCCAAGACACACGTGCGGCACCGCCTGCGCAGGTGCTGTCGGCGTGGTCGGCGCGGTCGGCGCGGCGCTTGCGGCACCTGGGGCAGCTGCTGGGGCGGGCCCCTGCGGAGCTGCGGAGTCGCTGCAGCGCTGCAGCGCGGAACAGAGGCCCATGCGGCTCATGAGGTGTGAAGTGTCTGAAGGCCACACGTCTGCCAGTACTGTGAGGCTGTGATAGTTGGTGGTCTGCCGGCAAGCCGAGGCATGAGTCTCAGCATGGCCTTTGTCTGTATGTTGACCCGAGCAGGGACGCCATGTAACAAGTCATTTGAGCCGCAACCATACTGGCCTGGCGAAGAAAATCTTAGCAACGCACTGAACAAGGGTAGCCTCACTGCTGACATCAGTGGACTCTGACCCTAAGATGCTGAGTCAGCAGCCGAAGCAACAGCGCCAGGAGGATGGCGGGCATCGCACCACGGCGACCCGCCCGCAGGAAGCCGGCGAACCTTCAGCCAAGGCAGTCCATTGGGATGGGATCAGGTACAGTCTCCTTTGTATGGCTCCCTGGAAAAAGGATCCTACGACATGAGGCCTTCTTGTGGTGCTGAGCGGGGACTCGGGAAACATTTCAGCTAGCTGCTCGACAGAGGCTCGCCGTCAAGATTTGCAGTTGCACGCTCGCCCACAATACGGCCTTGTAGTTTTGGCCTTTGATGGCCTTTACAATCTCAAGTTTACAATTCTGGTGCAAGCGGTGAGGGGGACCGTGATGACCCATTGACAGCTCGTTTCCTTTAACTCCCTTAGGGTCAGCATCTTTACCAGCAAGACGAAACCCTAGCTTTTCAGCTGGGCGCCCGGCCCCATGCAGATAGGAATCGGCAACAACCAGGCCAGAGCAATCGCCACAACTGCGTGCGGGTGCAGCATGGCAGGGGTCCATAAAAAAGGATTATGATATTGTTGGGTCTATGCTGTCCCCCCCGCCGCCACATTTACGGAAATCTTCTAAATGTGCTCAGATTGCTCGAGGTTGCAAGTTGCGATGTGAAGCGGTGAGGATAGGAAAGCAGGTGTCAGTCAGAGTGAGGATGAGGAGATGAACAAAGAAGACTGATGGCTACATGGGGGTTGTCCAGCAGCCCTTATCCCACAAATGCCCCTTGGTATGCGCTTGCACGAAGCTTGCACGGACCTTGCACGCCCAGGGTTTTATTCAAATTTGTGTTTGTCGGACCTGCACTTGCACTAGGATACAACAAAGGCACTTGTCGTCCTTACGCCAACCCTTGGTATGCGCTTGCGCACATCTTGCACGCGTGGGGTTTTCGGGCACATTGTTATCATCTGGTTTAGCGGTATATCATAAAAACAAAAGCAAGGATTTTAGGACGATCCTCACATGTCGCGGATGCTTTTTGACCAGGTCAGAACAAGGTTTTCCTGAAGTACTTCTGAATACCGCATTGTAGCGGCTGCTCAAACACCGTTTCACAAGTATACCGTGTTCCTATATGAATACTAGGAATAATACTAACGCTCTGAAATGCAAGTAATTATATTACTACTATAAGAATGCTACTAAGAATGCTCATCATATTACTTTTGTCCTAAACCCTAAACCTGCGTAGGTTCAGAGCCTGCCAAGCCCCGCTCCACGGGGATGGGTTCCAGGGACTGACACCTTCAGGTAGGATTGTTTCAGGTAGGGTTTAGGGGTTTAGGGTTTAGGTGTTTGTTAACCACTCGGACTTTTGATGCCTGCATTGCATGCAAGGGGTTCCAAATCATGGCGCACCACCCGATCCCCCTTATCCCCAGAACTGCCCCCTCCCCGAGTCCCATTTTTGTCCGCTTCTGGGGTCTTCTGACTGAGCCGGAGGCTCTTGAAGTTCTCGAACTTACCTGGCTTCGGGTCAAGCCATGCCCCTCGTTTAACTTATTGCCCCACATTCTTTCTTTCGTGCGGGCTATGGAGCATCCTTGCGGCCGCTCCGGGCTTCATTGCCCAGCCCGTGTTGGGCTTTGTTTTCGTCCTCTCCCCTCGTTGCTCCACATATAGCTATTCATCTACGACCCCTACATTCTCATTACCAGCATG